CCACTTTACAGGTTTGTTAGGAACCTCCACTAACATTTCATCCATCCTCAGTGGATCTAGAGAAGTGCTGGCCAAGAAAGGGTCTCCCTCTGACACACCAGCTTCCCCTGTTGTCTTCCTGACACACACCTCCAAGTTCTGCTCACCTTAGAGAGAGCCACCCTCACAATCCACTCACATTACTCATTACCTTCCCCAAATTTCAATGTTTCCTTAGTGGAAGTAGGCTGCTTTTCTCCCCTCTGTTCTGCCCTTTTCTGGGAGACAGTTGTGGGGTCTGCTAGCCTGCTTCTCTTTGATTGGTTGCATGGGAGCTTGGGATACAGGTGGCTTGTGTAAACTGAGGCAACTGAAGCCACATCTGGAGTGAGCAGAAGAATATGGGTCAACCCTGGTGCATTTTGACTATGGCTTCCCCAACACTCCTGGGCCCTAGTATTTGACTCCTGCTCCCTCTACTATTTATCTAGATAAGATCTACAACTAGAAGGGAACTTTTGACATCATCTGGGTCAGGGTGGGGAACCTGAGGCCTTGAGGCCACATCCTCCAGACCATACATTTCCCATCCCTGATCTAGGCCAATACAATGCCACCTATGGAATCTGGGGCAAGGCACTTGACCTCCTTGGGCTTCTTTTTTTTACCTATAAAATGAGGAAGTTGGACAACAAAGGGGACAGCTGATACTGGAGAACTTTCCAGTTGCATATCCTATCATTCTGTGGCCCTTCATTTGACAGATAAGAAAATTAAGTCTCAGAGAAAGGAAGAGTTTTTTTTTTAAAGTCACAGGTCATAATAATACACATATATTTTTATACATTACATATTGCTTTATATATTATATAATATAGTTATATATTGTATATTGCTTAGCACACACATATATATATACATATACACGAATATATACACGTATATACATGCCTACATATATATACATATATAGCATTTACTATGTGCCAGGCACTGTGCTAAGTGCTTTACAATCATTATGTCATGTGATCCTCATAACCCTGGGAAGTAGGTGCTATTCTTATCCTTATTTTACAGATGGAGAAATTGAGGCAAACAGAGCTTAAGTGACTTGCCCAGGGTCACACTGCTAGTAAATACCTAAGGCAAGATTTAAACTCAGGTATTCCTGATTTTAGGCCCAAATAACTCTAAATGACCTAAGGCATTGCATCAAGTTCAACCTTGTTGTCAGGAGAATGTGATGCCAGCCTCTTTGTTCCTCTACTTCCCCTGACCTTCACCTCTGGGTTCATGAATTTAACACAGAGATTTATTGGTCTCACCACGCCAGGGATATGAAGTCAAGATTTTGGCATTTTTCACCCTTGTTCTTAATGCTTCACTCTTATACCTAGAATTTAGGACTTTCCACAGTCTGGCTCCAGCCCGGGTGCCCTACTCACTGTTCCTAGAGAAACATTTGACACGTTTTCATGTTGGTATGCTCCTCACTCTGTTGCCCCTGCCTAGAGTGACTTCTGCCCTCCTCTCCTAGCTGGTCCTCAAGGGCCAACTTTGCTTCTCTGTGAAGTCTTTCTTGAGCTTGCCATGATTGCTCACTCCTCTGACCACCTAATTCAAGGATTCTTCTCCCTATAGGGGTCCACAGATAGAAACTGGATGGGAAAAAAATTACATTTTGATACTCACTAACATCGAACTGAAATTTAGCATTTCCTTCAATTATTTAAAAAACCTTATTCTGAGCAGGGGTCCATAGATCAGTTTGTCTAAAACACAATTTGTCAAGGAGAATAATGAGTAATCAGTCTGGAAATATAGGCTGGAGCCAGATGGGCTTGAAAATTGAGGACTATATTCAGACCAAAACAATATTTGATGGTTGATTTATAGGATATCAATTGAAAGTGGGAAAAGACCTTGGAGGTCATCTTGCACAATCTCATTTTGTAGACTGTGGAAAGAGTACTAGATTTGGAGTTTGAGGTCTTGAGTTCCAAGTTCGGCTTCCACCAGCGTCTTTGGGCAATGCAAATGGCAGCCAGAAGTAAGCCTGTCCCAGTTATAAAGAGGTCTAGGTAGCCAGGGACAAGGAGGAGAGGGGAGGGTCTGGAGTCCTAGAAGCATAGGTATATAGGGCAGACTTCAGACTTTGAATCTTCTTGTATTATTCTCCTTGTTCCCTCCCTCTCCTGTTATCTGGGGAAATCTATCAGAACACGAATACCTAGAGCCAAGAATGCTTGCAGATTTCAAATGCTACTCCCCACTCTCTTTTTATTCCCTCTTTATTCTAGAGTGGGCTTTGCCCTAAGGAGAGCCAGTGATTCTCAAAGATCTTAATTCTTTGACCAGGTTGCGGGAAGATTGTTGAATCTGGAGTCAGAGAAACTGAGTGTAAATTCCAGTTCTGCTACTTACCTACCACCTGAGTGACTTTAGGCAATGCTCCCATCCCTTCTGTGGGCCTTGGTTTATTCATTCCTCCTGTGAAATGCAGTATTGGAGATGTTGATCTCTAAGGCCTTTTCCCGTTCTGTATCCTATGATCCCACTAGTAAGAGAAGAAGAGATAGATGAGAAATAGGGAAGGGGGAGAATAGGGGTAGAAGCAGAAAATAAAGTGATAGCTTAAGGTAGATTATATTTAAGTGCAGATTATGGTGAAGGTAGAGCCAATGGGCCACCTGGAGGGGAACTGTCAGACTTTCCTTTTAAGGAATAAACAAGCCCAGTAGTTACCTCAGGTACACTTGGAGATGAGTTTATAATGCTTTTGTTGTTGCTGTTTGGTGGTGTTCAACTCTTCATGACCCCATTTGGAGTTTTCTTGGGAAAGATACTGGAGTGGTTTGCCATTTCTTTCTCTAGCTTTCTGACAGATGAGGAAACTGAGGCAAACAGGGCTAAGTGACTTGCCCATGGTCACAGAGCTAGTAAGTATTTAGGGCCAGATTTAAACTCAGAAAGAGTCTTGTTGACTTGGTGATCTGTCCACTGTGATGCCTAGCTGCCCCCTGTAATGTTGGCACCCTTTAATTTGGCTTCCATACTTCTTTCCTTGTTTTTTAATTGAAATTATTTCATCTGTTTTGAGATCATCAAAGAGAAGAGACACCAGAAAAATTAGATACCACCCATGGTCTCCCTAGATCCCTAGTTTAGCATCTGTTGAAGGTCTGGGTAGCCAGGGACAAGGTGGGAAGGGGAGGATCTGGAGTCCTAGCAGCATAGGTATGTAGACTTAAGACTCTGAATCTTTTTTTTATCATTCCCCTTGTTCTCTCCCTCTCCTGTTTCCATCTGGGGAAATGTATCGGAACATGAATTCCTAGAATCAAGAATACTTTCTGATTTCAAATGCTACCCCCTCCCCCTTTTTATTCCCTCTTTGTTCTAGTGTAGGTTTGTTTTGTCCTACAAAGAGCCAGTGATTCTCACAGATCTTAGCTCTTTGACATTGAGCAGCCCAAAGATGACTGAATTTGGAGTCAGAGGAACTAGGCATGAAAGTTCATAATTTAATAGTTAGAAAAGATTGTAGGGAACAGTTAGTTCAAGCTTCAGCTTTGGCAGATGAAAATTGAGGCCCAAGAAAGGAAAGTGATTTGTTCAAGATCATATGGCCGGTGGGTCTCAAAGTTGGGATCTGAACCCAATGGAGTAGGGAGTGGGTCTGCTACTATTGGGATTCTTCAGGGTGAGGTTATATGAGGGGCTCTTAACCTCTTTTGTGACATTGGCCCTCTTTGGCAATCTGATAAAGCCTATGGACCCCTACTCAGGACAATGTTTTTTAAATTCATAAATTAGAATACTCAGGATTAGAAAGGAAACCAATCATGCTGAAGTAACAGTTATTAAAATATTCACAGACCCCAAGTTAAGAACCCCTAGGTTAGAGGGCTTGTCAAGGAGGTGTGAGAGGGGAATTCTAGCATTAGGGAAGAGGCTAAACTAGATGCCCTGTAAGAACCTTTCCCACTCTGAAATACCATCACTTCTCTGTTTGTTTCCCAACTGCTGTGAAGCTGACACTTACCTTCAGGAACTTGACAGAGCTATAGGGTCTCTCTGAGCTGCTCAAGGGATGCATAGAACATCAGCACTGTTCTTCCTCAAGATCCTTTGGACCACAGGTGGCAAGAGGGAGCCATGTGTCAGCGGGGCCTTCCTCTGAGGTGGCTTTCTGATGGCATATTTTGTTTAGCTAAACTGAGCTATACACCTCACATACAATTCATTAGGAACCTGAGGATTTGTTTTTACCCCATTCAAACACAGTTAGCCATTCCTAATCTTATATTTAGGGAATATGCGTTCCTTCAGTCCTCCCCTCTTGGACACTATTGAGTGGATTTACACATTCATAATTTCTAATTATTTTATGCAACAGGCAACAGAATTTAACTGGACCTTATTGAATTTCAAAGTACACTATCTGATCTTTTAGTAGCAAAATAACCAACTCAATAAAAAAAGGCTGAGTATTTTTTCTGCACAGAACATGGCCAATGATATAGGTAGCCAAGGCCTTCGGGTGACATGTATTTTCCACCAGAGAAAAGGCTTTGGGATAGGCACCCCAACCCCCAAGGTATACCACCTTACTAGCACACTTTAAATAATCTGGGAATTTATTAGTTCTGCTACACTCTGTAGAGATGCACAGTGAACTTCTCCATCTTTGAGAATTGCTTGGCTGAAAAATATATTACTGTGCAACCAACCCAAGGATGAGCCTCTCTAAACTTAGCTAGTAGACTGGCCTTTGAATGCCAGACACATAATCTTACACCCGGCTTAGGCTTGATCTCACTCTCCAGTTTAGTAGAACCTACCAGAAATAGGACTCCAATGGTGTGGCCTTCAAGAACGCAGGGTCACCTCCAGGAACCAAATAGGCACCAGACAGGGGGTTTCATGCCTGCATTATCCCTGTTCACATTAGCCCTGGGCCCTGCTAAGCAACTTGCCTACTCAACTGCTGTGCTGATTAAATTGGACAGAGAAAGAGCTGACAAGAAAAGTCATTGTTTTATTTCAATTAATAACTCTTGGCATTAGGCAGATATTAAATAACACTGGAATGCATAAGATTGATCAACACAGTGACAGTGTAAGGGAAGAGGGGGGAGCAATGTTTACAAAGAGCAGGGTGAGTGGAGTAACTGCCCCTTACAGGACGGTGACCACTGGATGCCACATGCCCCAGGGTGGAACTTTGACAGAAAAATGCAAGCTTCAGATCATTCCTTTTATTTTATGATTTTAATACAGGACAAGCTGGACCAACCAACAGGAAAAACGAACCTTGAACAAATATGGTGCATTCAGGTATTGGACAGTGGAATAGCCACAGTAAAGGCTAAACATGCATTTCTTCTGAAAGACATCAAGTTGCAGATGCATAAATACCACAAAACAATTAGCATTGGGTTAATCACAGGCTACTAAGGGAGGAAAAAGCTGGAAAAGCTACCAGATGCATTAAATAGGTGACCTTAGCATGAAACTGTACTTCACCATATATATATATATATATATATATATATATATATATATATATATATATATATATATATATATATATATATATATATATATATAAATTTATATATTAAAAGAAAGCAAAGACCATCATCGGATAAGTGCAAGCCACTTTTTCCCAACAAAAAGAAAAAGAATAAAATCATGCACAGGAAAGGGTTCGTTCTGTCTGCTTGTAGCTCCCAACTCTTCAAAGAGTCATTTTCAAAGCAAAATAAATTAGCTAACCTTGGCTCTATTTTATAAAGTCCTATCTCAGCTCTTCTCATGGTTATTAGAACATATTCATACAATTCCCCAAGTGAAGGGAGATATCTCCCACCCCTGGAGCCAAATCCCCCCTTGCTGTCTGCATGAAATATATCTCTAAGTGATATTAGGGCTCTGTAAAGGAATCAGGATGACAGAAGAAAACCAGAAATAAATTTGAATGACCAAGGACTTTGGCCCTGGCATGGATGATCAGGGAGTTGCGGCCGGCCATGTTGCTGCATGGAGGGAAACCATTGGACCAGGGGACCTTATCCGAGAACAGCAGAGGAATGGTTTGAGAAGGCATCCATTTTTGTAAGCAAAGCTGGAATGACAAGCCAGTGGCTCTTTGCAACTGTCCAGATGTGGGTAGGTTTAGAACTGACTTGCGCTGCTTGGGTCGCACTGTAACAACCGGACAATGGAAGGATCGCTCTTGGCACCTTTAATGAATTCTTCCAGTGACAGCTTGCCTGAGGGGGAACAAGAGAACAACCAAAAAAAAAAAGAAAGAAAAAAAAAGAAAGAAACCAAACAAAAGAGAAACAAGGAACCAAGTTCTAATCAAATATGCTGCTACAAAGAAAGTACTCGTCCTCCCCAAAGCTAATAAGCTCACTTTTCAAACCTAATCTTTTGGCCTGGAAACAGAGAATATCATACTCTCTTTCTCTATTTAAAAGACATGATTTTTTTTTAAGTTCTTCATTTTTTATGATGATGTACCATTGTATATAGTATGAAGGGTCAATACGGTGACCACAGCACATGCTAAAGGACCTTATGAATCACTGTAAGAATCTGCTTTATTTCCCAAAATTTCAAGATACTGGTAACTTAAAAAAAAAAACCCTAAACATATAACAACCCAAACTGGAGAAAGCAGAACCATCTGAATTAGTTTCCCACTGACTGGAACTATTACGTCAAAGCGAAACTCCTGCCTCTGGGACAAGTGCCTATTTCCCTGCCCTGGCCTCCACCACTGAGCCACTGAGAATCATAGAATAAAAGAACTGGAAGGGACCTTCAAGATCACATATTCCAACTTCTTCATTTTATAGACTGGGATAATTAAGGTTCAGAGAGGAGAAGTCACCAAAAAACTCCAGTGACTCCCTATCACCTTCAGGATTAAATAGAAAATCTGTTTGGCTTTTAAAGCCCTTCATACCCTGACCAGTCTTCTTTTCCACTTTCCCAGTCTTCTTATACTTTACTCCCATCCTCCTTGCTGTTCCTCACATAAAACACTCCATCTCCCAACTCGGTGAATTTTCACTGGCTGTCCTCTATACCTGGAGTTCCTGCCCTATTCATCCCCATCTCCTGGCTTCTCTGGCTTCTTTTAAATCTTCAAGAAGCCTTTCCTAGTCTCTCCTTAATGCCGATTTACCTTCCTTCTGAGATCACCTTCCATTACCTTCCATCTATACGCATAGATCTATCCATTTATCATATCTCTCTACAGATCTATTTTATATCTATATAAATCTATATACCTATCTTATATCTATAGATCTATATATATAGATCTATAAATGTATATATAGATATATCCATGTATAGCTCTTTATGTATGTATATGTGTATAGATATATCTCTGTGTATATCTATGTATACACATATGTGCATAGATGTATCTATATATGTATGTAAATATACATACATAAAAGATGTCAGTATACATACATAGAGATATATAAGAGATATCTATATACATATACATATATAGATCTATATCTTCCACTTTTCTATTTCTTTTTTTAATTTTGTTTTTATTTTTAGGCAATTGGGGTTAAGTGACTTGCCCAGGGTCACACAGCTAGTAAGTGTCAAGTGTTTGGTCTGAGGCCAGATTTGAACTCAGGTCCTCCTGACTTCAGGGTTGGTGCTCTACCCACTGTGCCACTTAGCTGCCCCCTCTATTTCTTGTATGTAATGTCTGTATGCTGTCTCTTCCATTGGAATCTGAGCTCCTTGAGGACAGGTACTTTTGTTTTTGTACCCTGTGGAAGGCTTGCCCAGGGTCACATAGTTAGTATCTGAAGCCGGATTTAAACTCAGATCCTCCCGACTCCAGGGCTAGTGCTCTGTCCGCTTGTGGGCAGGGACTTTTTAAGCTTTTCCTTTTATCGCCAGTGCGAAGCACAGTGCTTGGCACATAGTATGCTCTTAATGATTACTTCTTGACTGACAGAGTGGTTATAGAATTATAAAATATTAGAGCTGACATTCAAACCCAGGTCTCTTTGACTCCAAGTGCATCTCCCAGTCTCCCAATAACAGGTTCTGGATACAGTGCTCCTCACTTTCCTAGCTGCTTTCAGCTACGAAGCCACTAAGCTACTTAGCATGCCTAAGTGAAAAAGAATACTTTTCAGTGAAGAAAAGAGCTCTTGAAATCAAAGAAACCTTCACTGGCTGAGGGTTACCATGGTAAAAAAGATACCATACTTCCAGTTTAAAGAGAAAGTGAAAAGGAATAAGGTTTAGTCAGGGGCGTGCCGGAGCCAGCTCTAACAGGTTTTCAGTTATTAAATTTTCAGTGCAAGCATTTCACCTCAGAAATCAGCAATCACTAAAAATCAGGGCTTGATTGTTTTGTTGATTGTGTAGATTTAAGAAAGTGTTCCTAATGTAGATTAAAGTTTGAAGTGTGTGTACCTACTCTTTTTTTTTGCCCTGGGAGATCCCGGTTGTTAAATATTTACCAGCACACCCCTGTATTATTCTATGAACATTCCTTGAGTTCAGTGGAAGTGCAATGGAAGGCTTATGTAATGAAATCATCACTAGACTGGAGGCCTGGTGAATGTAAGCTAATAATAATTATTATAAAGACAATGACAATAATAATAATAATAAAACAACAATAACTGATATTTACATAGCAGGCTCGCAAAAGGCTTTACACCCATTATCTCATTTTAGCCTCACAACACCCCAAAGTCTAGCGGAAAGAATATAGGACTAACCATCAGGATTAGGTCTGAGACCTAGCCTTGTGACCATGGGCAGACCACTCAACCTTTTGGGGCTTCACCCTCCTTGACTATAAAATGAGTATAATAATACTTGGTTAAATAGGTTTGTAAACCATGAAAAAACAGTGCATCTCATGGTACTTTAGAGAGGATCTCATGTATGGGAAAGTGCTCTGAAAATGCTATATAAATGGTATATAAATACAGGGAGTTACTTTGGAGGACTTATGATTTCATTGGTGCAGGAAACTATTAGAGAGGGATGCCCTCTACAAATGCAGATCAGTAGCTACAACTTTTGAGTCTTAGGCTGAGTTCAAGTGCCACCTCTGAGAAATCCTGGCTATGTGATCCTGAATAAGTCATGGCCCAGGCAGCTCTCTCTCTTTTTTTTCCCTTTTTTTTTTGGGGGGGGGGCTAGGCAATGGAGGTAAGTGATTTGCCCAAGGTCACACAGCTAGTAAGTGTTATGTGTCTGAGGCCAGATTTGAACTCAGGTCTTCCTGAATCCAGGGCTGGTGCTCTATCCACTGCGCCGCCTAGCTGCCCCTCAGGCAACTCTCTCAAGAGAGTTATGAGCAGATGAGAAACCTTGCAGCACAGCTGGGTGAGAAGGAAAGAGAAAAAAGTGGGACAGAGTTTTATACATTAAATTAAATAATTTAAATTTCAGTGGGAGTTAGCATGGCATAGTGGAAAGAGGGAATGGGCCCAGAATCAGAGAACTTCTGTTTATCTAACAGCTCTGATATTTCTTACCTATGTGGCCTTGGGCAAGCTGCTTAACCTCTCTAAGACTCCATAAAATGAAAGGGTTGGGCTTGATGACCTCTTAAGATCTTTTCCATCTCTTATTCTATGATTTAGTGAGAAGAAATCATTAGAGATGCCCTAGTCTAGAGGTGTCAAACTCATATTAAACCAGATTAAAACGTAATTGGGAAATATTTAACAGAATAAATAAAAATATGGTGCAGCACAGATAATGTCAATTTGTGGTTTTTTGAATCAATATGCAACCCTAGAGGGATATGTTTTTATTTGAGTCGGACACCATTGATCTAGTCTAACTTCTATTCCACCTCTCCCTCCACCCCCAACTCCCTTATTTTGTATGTGAGGCAACTGCAATGAGGATCAGAAATATTAAAGTGATTTGCCCAAGATTGCGTCTAGGTGGCACAGTGGATAAAGCACCAGGCCTGAGGTCAGGAATACTCATTTTCCTGAGGTCAAATCTGGTTTCAGACACTTACTAGCTGTGTGACCCTGGGCAAGTCACTTAACCCTATTTGCCTCAGTTTCCTCATCTCTAAAATGAGCTGGAGAAGGAATTGGCAAACCACTCTGGTATCTCTGCCAAGAAAATCCCACGTGGGGTCATGAAGAGTCAGACACAGCCGAAGCATCTGAATCTCAAGTCAGGAAGGCCTGAGTTCAAATCCTGCTTCACACATGACCTCTGCCTCAATTTCCTTATCTATAAAATAGGAATGATAATAGTATCTACTGCTCAGGGATACTGTGAGGATAAAATGAGCAAATGTTTATAAAGTACATTGTAAAACTTAAAGAGCTATGTAAACGTTAGCTATTATTAAACAGCAGAACTGAGATTTTAAAGTCAAGTGCTCTGACTCCAAATATGGCACTTCTCCAAGAACTGTTTAAAGCTGACTCCTGAGATAATTCAGGTAAAAGTGCTGTGTAATTGTAGACTGCTATATAAATGTAAGATATCACCATCACTGTTATTATTATCATCACCATCATCACATTCAGGGAGGAAAAGACTCAACTTCTTTGGGTAATATATTCCATTGTCTAGTAGTCCATTAAGTTGGGAAATCCTCCCCTTAAATCTAATCTTTTAAGAGTAAAATCGTCTTCACTTATTATTCTGTCCCTGGTAAGCACAGGGACCAGGCTGGCTACCTAGGGACACTTAGAAGATCTAGAATTTACAGCTGAAAAAGGTCTGAAAGACCACCCAGTAGTAGAAGCAAAAATAATTGACATTTTTTTCCCTTAGCATTTTAAGGCTTGCAAAACGCTTTAAATCCCTTGTCTTGGGGTAGGTCTATTTGCTATTGATTCCTTTGTGTGCCCAAGGTTAGTCAAGCAGGAAGCAGATCTGAGATTTAAGCCCAATTCCTTCACTTCCAAGTCCCAAACTGTTGCTGCTCTAGCATACTCAAGAGTCAGACTGTCCAGAGCAAAACATCTAGACTAGTTTAGAATGTCAGAACTGGCAGGAACCTCTGAGATTAATGAATCATCTCTCCCCCTCCCCATTTTCCAGATGGGGAAACCAAGGCCCACAGAAGACAAGTGATTCCTCTAAGGTCACAGAACTAGTGAATCTGGGACTAGATATGGGATTAGAAACATAGGTCAATGCTATTCCTACATCACCATCCTCAAGCACTGCCTCTCTCCTATTCCTTCTCCTCATCTCCAGACTAAACTAACAACAACCATTTCCTCTGCCAGAAATTTATTTGTGAAGGGAGGAAACTTTGCCTGATTCAACCTCTTCTTCCCTCAGGCTCTATAAGCACAACCTAGGACAGGAGGAATAGGCCTTTCTCAGGCCCTGTGTTTATGTGATTGTCATGTGTCCTATCTAAAGAGAAGCACATAGCTTCTTTTCCTTTCACCTGGCAATTAGGTGTCATTATGGGCTTTCCATTCCTCCCTTCTGTCACTAGTGTTATTGTCCCAGTCAGTAATTAGACACTCATATGTAGGCATGATGTCACTTGAGGGTCAGAGATGGGACTGGAATCCAGTGAATGAGTTTCCTGCCTATCTCTTTAGCTGTCTGCTTAGACTATTGTGCCTGGATGCTTCCTGGAATGCCAGTGATTATGACAGATGATAAAATCTCATGCCCTGGGGGTCTGGGCACTGCCCAACCCCCAAGTGGCCCTTGTAAACAAGACTCAAAGAATTGGTTAAATATTTAAGAAGGCTTCAGTGCAGTCAGTGGCTCTGTTGTCTTCCCAGGAGGGTATGAATAGAGTGGGTGGTTGAAAAGCAGGTCTGACTCTCCCTGATGCAGGAAATGTACTGGGGTTGGAGCACATAAACTCTGTGGGCCATCAGTAACACCAACCAACTGGTGACCCGGGACAGAGACATTTGTTTTCCAGGAACAGGTTTAAAAGGGAGTGGGCAGGGTACACTGAATGCCTGATTTTACAAACAGCCTATCTTTTTACTAGCCAGACAGGCCTTTTTCTACTAGTATATACTCAAATTACCTTAGTCACCACTTCCCATTCTTTTATTTATTTATCTATATCTATCTATCTATCTATCTATCTATCTATCTATCCATCTTTCAATTAATTAATTAATTGATTTTTTGCTTTTAGGCAATTGGGGTTAAGTGACTTGCCCAAGGTCACACAGCTAGTAAGTGTCAAGTGTTTGGTCTGAGGCTGGATTTGAACTCAGGTCCTCCTGACTTCAGGGCCGGCACTCTATCCACTTTGCCACCTAGCTGCCCCAACTTCCCATTATTTTAAATTAAAGTTAGGGAATCCTAGGATGTCAGAGCCAATGCCCCTTTCCCCCATTGAAATGACCCTCCCTCTCAGACCTCCTATGGTCCTTTGTTTTATAGCTCTCTATTGAATTTATCATGAGGCAGCTGGTGGCCCAGTAGATAGAGTGCCCAGCCTGGAATCAGTAAGACTGGAGTTTAAATCTAGCTGCAGAAACTTACTAGCTGTGTGACCCTGGGGAAGTCATTTAACCTCAGTTTGCCTCAGTTTTCTCAACTGTAAAATGAGGATTATAATAGCACCTTCCTTGCCAGGTTGCTGTGAGGGTCCAATGAGATACTATTCAAAAAAGTGCTAAGCATAGGGCCTGGTGATGTATAAATACTTATTCCCTTTCTTCGTCCTTTCTCCATTTATCCTGTAATCCAGTTATGTGACTATTATTTTGTGTTTATGCCTTAGCTCCCAACCTCCTAGGCTCAAAGTACAGAGGCCAAGGACTGTAGCAAAACAACACTGGATTTGGAGATGGAGGATCTGGGTTTGAAGACACTTCCTTTCTCTGGGCCTTGGTTTTCCCATCTTTAAAATGAGCAGGTTGTACTAGATGACCGCCAAGGTCCTTCCTGGACTCTAATATCATATAATCTAAAACATCTCCTTTCCCTCACCACTTAGTTCAGTGGTACTTAATGAATATTAGTTGTTAATCGAAAGGACCTTAGAGGTCATTCGTGCAACACTCTCATTTTTCAGGTGAGGAAATGAAGAGTGCAGAGAAGTAATGACTTATCCAAGGTTCTGTGGAACATCTCTTTGGGATGCTCTTCAGAATTAAAGGACCACTATTCGACCTTGGAGTTTTCTTTAATGGATTGTGGGTGGATTGTTGTTTTTATTTTTGTTAACTCCACAGAATAAGTGGTTTTTAACCTCATATCATCTCAATAGCTACAGGTCAGGATCAAGAAAGTAACTTCCTTACATAAACTGTCCCTAAAGTGGTTGTCGTTGAGTCATTTTTCAGTCATGTCTGACTCTCCATGACTCCATTTGGGGTTTTCTTGGCAAAGACACTGGAATGGTTTGTCATTTCCTTCTCCAGCTCTTTTTACAGATGAGGAAACTGAGGTAAACAGGGTTAAGTGACTTGCCCAGAGTCACATAGCTAATAACTATCTGAGGCCAGATTTAACTTCAGGAAGATGAATCTTCCTGACCCCAGGCCTGGTGCTCTATCCATAGCCCCAGGCTTGGAAAGTAGGAAGTATGATATAGATATTGATTTAGAGTCAGAAGACCTGTATTCAAATCCCAGCTTATTTACTTACTACCTATGGGACATTGGGTGAATCACGCAGTTTCTTCATTTGTAAAATGGCAGGTGCAGTAAGACTAGAGCAGCGGTTCTTAATCATTTTTGATATCATGGACCCTTATATCAGTCTGGTGGAGTTCCTGAGCCTCCTTCTCAGAATAATGGTTTAAAATGAACAAAATAAAATAAAGGATTACAAAGAAAACCAATGATGTTGAAATATAACCATCAAAATATTTTTATTTGTTTGTTTGTTTTGTTTTTACTTTTAGGCAGTTGGGGTTAAGGGACTTGCCCAGGGTCACATCAAAGTATTTTTAAAAAACAAGTTCATGAACATCAGACCAAGATCCCCTGTGCTAGATGATTCTAAGGCCCTGTCCAGCTCAAAGACCACGATCCTTTGCAGTTCTCAATCCCTGGAGTTCTATGAACAGAAGCTGAATGGCTGCTTGTTAGGATGGGATAGAGGTGATTCTTGCCCGGCAACAGGCTGGACTAAGTGACCTGAGGTCTCTCTTAGGTCTCAGACTCTGAAATAAACAAGGGCCCCCTTCTTGTGCCTTGTAAAGAAGGGGCACCTGGTAGCATGGAAGGAGGAAGGAGTCGCTACTGCTCAAGATGCTCTGGATCCCCTTCTCTCAGCCTTTCTAAGCTCACAGGGAGGGCCAACTCCTATGAGTTCTAAGAAGGAAGTTCTCAGCCCCAGAGGATAAATTAGAATGTGGAACACACTGTTCCAATCTGCATGGTGCAGAGCAAGCCATGTGTTTTTAGAGCTGGGCTGGATGACTGAAGGTGTTTATTAGGGAATAGTGGTGCCCAGTCAACATTATCCGAAGATGGGAAAACAAGCAGAGATGGCTGCAGGGAACAGCTTTCTGCGGAAAATTACTAAGTTACCCAGGTTTCAACTGAGTATGGGAAAAGGTGTTTTTAATCAGCCCCAAAGGTGACTTCAGGCACAGGCCTGACTTTTTCTTCCATCATTGTATGCTTCTCTGCTGCCTGTAGGTGATTCAGTTACTGAAACCTCCCACCCCTGGATCCCACTCAAGGGGTTTGACTTTAGGCTGGAGAATTGAGGGAGGGGCGGGAGAAATCAGTGGTATGGACGAATGCATTTTGGTTTCTAACAATACCAAGCAGAGAGACTGCCCCATAGCCTACCGTCATTGTTTGTGTCCATCTGCCGGAAAATTTTGTCTGTTCGCTTCTCAGGAGTGGACTCATCTTCAGGCATTTTCATTACTGAAGATACCATTTTGTATATGGCCTGGAGGAGTACAAAGAAGAAAGAGTTTTTAAAAGATTCTGGGGAGCTCCAGAAGGAGGAGCAAAGATTTAAGCTCATTACCCAGTTTGCAAACACGGTACATGGGTACATGACTTGGGGCCTCATGCAGCCTTCCCCAGATTGAAAAATAAAGGAAAAGCTAGCTAAGCCCTGCCATCTCTCCCTCCCACCCACACCACTCTGATGATGCATGATGAAAGGAAAGATTGGGAAGCAAAGCTCTATGACTGAGAAATTTTCCCAACATGCTAATCATTGGACTCAAATTAGGGTTTCTGGTGTGACTAGCTGCTGCCAGAGCCTCAGGTCATCAGTAACTAAAGCCTTCCCAATCAGGTCACTAACGCCACAGCAGGGATTAGTTAGTGGCCAGCTAGCTGAGAGCATGGACAGGACTCACCATATGAGGAATGGGGCCAGAATCATTAGGACTTTCATAGCCAAGTACAAGCCTATTTGAGTCTCTAGAATCCTTCTGAGAGCCATAGCTAAGGTTTATAACCACTTTCCCCTGTAACCTCACATAGCACTTGGTTTTGTACCTCCTCGATGTATTTGTCTAGTAACACTGTATATTTAGCTATCTTTATGTACCATATCCACCATTCAGAGTGACCTGTGGTCTCAAGGCTACAGGTTCCCCACCCCTGTAAATAGACCATAAACTCCATGTGGGCAAGGATGATGTCTTATCTAACTTAGTATTCTCCACCATTGCTTAGCACAGAGCTCTGCACATAGTCGGGACTTAATAATTTTTCTTTTATAAAAGAAGCATCACAGCCATTTACAATTATGTACCTCATGATAAACATGGCACACTGAAAACTATTAAAAGATACTGATCAGATTTTCAGGTCCTGGGATTTTGATGCTGACAGAGCAGTGGAAAGTAGCTGAATTAAGTCCCACTTGAGCAAATTTTAGTTTTTTTTTACTCACCAAGAGTCAGAGCCAAAAAACTCAATCATTGGCAGTGACAACTAAGTCTTTTGCTGACAGAAGTGTCCATCTGAAAATGGGTTAGTTTTTCCATATAAGCTAGGCTATAACATACAAATGGGGCTTCTGATTCCCATCTTAAGCTTACATGCAAGAACCAGACAGGTGGCAACTGAAGCATAGACCTTAAAATAAAGAGGCCCACAATTGGCTCTCCGCATGTTAAACTCAATCTAGTTGAGGAAGTGGTAGATCAGGTTAGCCACTGATCTATCCTGGAGGGTATGAAAATGCCCTTTCACAATGGTGATACCTCCCCATCCTTTCCTGCCCTGGAGATACACAGGGAAGTGGGAGCCCATTGTGTTCCATGATCTGCTTGGCTCTGAATAGGTTCCAATAGGTCAGGTCTCTCATCTCAATCCTTTCCATGGATAGAAGAGAGATGAGTCCATGATGGGAACTGGATTTCATCTGGAACCCAGAAGTTAAGATTCCTAAATTTAATTGTATTACTGTCATAATCTAGAAACTTTTGTTAATTATAGAGCAGTATGTAAATATCAATTACAACTCTTCTTGTTATTACTTCTCCTTCTCTCAAAGAAAGGGTGGACAATCTATAGCATGTGAGCTGTAGGTGGCATGTCATTAATAGGACCTGGGGTAAGACAATCAGGATCAGTCCTAAAGAAAACTAGGAAGTCAGTGAATTTTGTCTTATGCACTTTCCTAGCTCTGCCATTAACTAGCTGGGTGATTTTGGGCAAGTTACTAATCATGTCTGGGTTTTAGTTTCCTGCTCTGTAAAATGGGAAGAATGGATTATCACAGCTAAGATCCTTACTCACGTTTTAATTCCTTCTTTTCTTCCTAGTGTCGGTGTCTAATAACAGCTCCTCATTCTTGCTGTAAACTATCTGACCATTTATCCCTGCTAAGGAGTTAACAGATTACTAAATCAGCAGGAGTTGGTGATAGCTTGGTATCCCAAATGGTAACTTACACATAGTAGGTACTCTAATATTTACTGAGTAATTGATGGTTTAGGTATGATTCCTCCTAGCGGTCATTTGCATTTTTATAACCCTCCCTAGTCCTTCCCTACCTTCTGACCCAGTCACACTGGCTGCTATGGGACCAAGACTGTTTTCTCAGGGTGTTATTATGCATCTACCCAGGGCTCAATCACCTCCTTGCCAATCCCAAGGGTGAGAAGAATGAAAAAGGACTTGGCATATTTCCTCTGAGGGACTGCCAATGCCTGTCCGAAGGCAATGGCTTTTCTCAGTGTTAGGGCTTGTTCCACCACACAACGAACCCACGCAGCCCTTGGGGCCAGTGCAGAACCCTGGTAACAACTTATGCTGGTATGATACTTCACGGGTCACATCTATTACTTTACCTGATCTTCACAGCTCTATAAGGATGTTGTGAAGATAAAGTTTGAGTATTATTATACCCATTTTACCAGTGGGGAAACGAGGCTCAGTAAGACATGGAGACTTGTTTAATGTTACAGAACTGGTCAAGTTGGCACCTGAGCCCAAGCATTTCCCTTTACACCGCATTAATTTTACTATAACACCACGCTCAGATCTTAGGGGGAAATAACCTAAGGTTATAGGATCTCGGGTTAGGGAAGAAACCCACAAACATGAAATGAGAGAGTTGTCTGACTTTTTCTTTTGACCCTTACTAACTAAGCAACTCAGAACCAGTCACATCACCTTTCTGAGCCTCAGTTTCCTCACCTGTAAAATGGGCATAATATTAGCTGTCACAGGTACCTCATAGGGTTCTTCAGTGGTACAAATAAGATAATGTGTGTGAAATGCTTGATAAAATCTAAAGCACTGTATAAAGGCCAGCTATTATTGTTATTATTATCACAGCCTTCTCAGCCTTCATGGGATTATTATAATTATTATTACTATTATTATTATTATTATTGCTTTCCCAATTTTCACATGCTTATACCATATATTCATGAAGATGCTTCAATCACCATCTGAAAGGGAAGCAAAGAATGGCCATGTGTTTCAGATAAGGCTTGGAGCAGAGTGGGGTGGAAGCAATGCTTCATGGTTTCTCTAGGGCTGTCAGATCTCAGGGCAGAAGAAACATTTGGAGGTCAGCAAGTCCAGCTCTCTGCCTCCAGGCACCATCATCATCATCATCATCATCGTCATATTTATATAATGTTTTAAGATGATATCTAAAGTCCTTTATTACATGCAAATCACTTTATATATTTTAATAACTCACATTTCTAAAAGCACTTTAAACTTTACAAAGTGCTTTCTCTGCAATAATTGAGGTAGGGGCTGCAAGTATTACTGAGGCTCTGAAAAGTGAAATGACTTGGCCAGTGTCATAGAACCAATTCTGGAACTGGTACTCCTTGATCCCAAGGCCAGCCCTTCTTCTATTATACCCTAGTGGAAGCCAGGCCTGATGCACACAAATCTCATTTGGAAAAATGTCAATAGAAAGACATCCTTCAATACTCCCTAGCGAACAGACTAAACTGATGTCAGTTTAAATAACACCATGCTTAAGGAACTTATGAAGAGCACTGAGGTCTCGACCCGGCTCAGCCATTCATTGCTGTGTGACTGTGAATAAATCATCTTTCTGGGCCTCAGTTTCCTCTCTAGAATGAAGAGGTTATATGTACTAGATGATCTCTCATGCCTCTTCCAGGCATAGCATGGGAGGTCCCCCGAGTCCTCACCTGTACAATTTCGAGCATCTCCCCACGGCTTATGTAGCCATTACCATCAAGGTCATACATGCTAAACGCCCACTTCAGTTTCTGTTCCAGCTTCCCCCGAGAGGTGACACTCAGGGCAATGATGAATTCCCGGAAGTCAATCGTCCCATCACCATTTGTGTCGAAGGTGCGGAAGACGTGTTCTGCGAACTTCGATGCGTCTCCATAGGGGAAGAAGTTGGCATATATCTTTTTGAACTCATCGACAGTCAAGTGGCCAGTGGGACAGTCCTTTAGAAACCCTTTGTACCACTCCTGCAGCTCGTGGTCTGTGAACTCAGTGTTTTCCCGGAGATCCTGGAGCACCTCAGGACGGAGCTTGCTATTTTGCTTTCCCATTCTGTCCTCCCAGATAACTTAAAACCTGGAAAACATAGGACTGTGTTCAGTTATCAAATGCTACCTACAGTCAGTTTTTGTAACATCCAGATGATTCGCCTTTCAACACTGGGATGGGATGGCTCAGGCTATTCAAGTGAGAGTTTTCCTTCTAATATATTCAAAACCTTTTCTTTTTTTAGACTCTTCCCTCTCCCTTACACTTACCCAGTTACCAAGCTTTAGAGTCCATCTCAGCAATGGCTTTCTTTCTTTAAAAAAATTAATTTATTATTTATTTTTAACATTCTTTTTAAATTTTTTTTTGAGTTCCAAATTCTCTCCTGCCCTCCAGTCCCCTGTGCACACCCATTGAAAAGGCAATGATATTAATTATATATGTGAAATCATGTAAAAACATTCCCATATTAGCCATGTTGCAAAAAAGAAAGCAAGAAAGATAGAGTAAGTGATAAAATTATATTTCAGTCTACACTCAGACTCCATCAGTTCTCTCTTCTGGAGGTAGATAGCACTTTTTATGATGGGTCCTATGGAATTGTCTTAGATTGATATGTCGATCAAAGTAGCTAAGTCTTTCACAGTTGATCAGCATTACATTAGCAATATCTTCCAAATCCATCCCTCTTCTTTAGTCCTATTGCTCCAGTTCTAGCACTTCTAGTCCACCCACCCAGACTATTATTAACAGCCTCCTAACACGTCTTCCAGCCACCATTTTCATTCACCTTCTAACTTCTACAAGGCTAGTATTCTTAATGCACAGACTTGGTTGTATTATTCCTTTTCTTGAAACTTATCAATAATTTCCTAATGTCTAAACCCTAAATGTTCAAGGCACCCAAGGCTTGGGGACTTCCCCTTCCAGCCTTATCTTTTATTATTCTCCTCCATACATTCTACACTCCTGCCAAAGTGGTCTGCTTTCTTCTACCCATGTACTATGTTCACTTACCTCTATATCCTTCTGGGCTCTCCAGGCCCAGAATATCTTTCCTCCCTCCTTTTGCCTTCTGAATTGCTACTCATCCTTTAAGGTCCCACTCAAGATCTACCTCCCCCAGGAAGCAATCTCTGATCCCCCTCTTGACAGCAATGACTTTTGCCTGTGGACTTTCCATAGCACTCCCCATGCCCTGCCTCTCCCCCACCTCTTTAATGTACTTTTTATGTAATACTGTACATTCTAGTTATAGACACTAGTACACAGCCTCCATGTAGAACATTCCATGAGGACAGGGGCTAAGTTTTGTCTAAACTTTTTATTTCACAAGAATCTCATAACAGGAAAGCTCCTCATATGTATCTGGTCCAACCTATAACTGAACAGGAATCCTACAGCCAGGTGGCTTAAGGGATAGAATCCTAGACCTAGAGTCAGGAAGACTTGAGTTCAAATCCTACCTCAACAGACACTAACTATGTGACCATAAGCAGGTCACTTGACTTCTATCTGGCTCAGGTCCCTCATCTGTAAAATGGGGATAATAATAGTACCTACCTCCTAGGGTGGTTGTGAGGATGAAATGAAATTAATATTTGTAAAACACTTTAAGAACTTGAAAGTACTATATAAATGCTATTATTATTATTATTAATTATCAAAGGCTGTGCCAGTGGAATGTAAGACCTTGCAGAATCAGGAAAGGGGACATGGAAGGGGCAGTATTTGAGTGGGACCTTGAAGAACAGGTAGGATTTCAAAGGAGGAAAAGATGAGGAGGAAGTGGAGTGGGAAGGCCATTGTATATAAAGGGGATGGCACAAACAAAAGGTCAGAGATAGGAAAGGACAGAATGTGCATCCAGGGAACACAAAGTCTAGTTTGGCTAGTGTAGAGTACATGAAAGGAAGTTTGAGAAAGTCAGGTCAAATACAGGGGTTCAAGCCAGACTGTAGTGGACTTAGAATGCCAAGTTATGATTTTATTGTTCCATCCTTAAGTCATAACCTTGTAAACAGAAAGACTAAATCAGAGATAAATATTTACAGAACACATGCATAGTTCATGTAGGGGAGAATCTTTGTTCCCTATTTTGGCATAGTACAGTATACACAACGATGTAATATAAACATACAGTTTAAGCAATTTTGTCAAAGCATGCTACAAAAGTGGCCAGGCCAACCCAAGGGGATCTAAGTCAATTAGATAAGAATCAAACACACTTTCATCTGGGCTTCAAACTCCCATTTTACATACTAAAACCCAGCAATCCAAAGGCCAGGCCCAAACAACCATATGGCCAGAGAACCTGCCAATCTCTTACACTCTTTCTCATTTTCCTACAGTCAGTCAATTTATTCCTCCTTTGTCTAATGTCTAACCCCTCTCAATCCTCATTCTGCTCTAAGGCAAAAATAACACTAGCTGCTGCTCATTGATGACATATAGCAGGCTGAGCCCTAGAAAGGGTGTGTTACCATTAGCTGCTTCTGTGAAGGAGTCAGCTACCAACACTTCAGTCCCTGGGGCTACTTTTGCTCCTGTCCCAGCTGTTTAAACAGACACAATTTCCCAGTTTCAGTGAATTTCGACTCAGTGCTCCCAGCATCCCCTGGGATGCCAGCTGTCCAGCTGGTTCAGCTGGTCACATCCAGTAGCAGAGGCATCATGGTCTGAGAAGGAAGAAAGTTTGTTTGTGAGATAAGAGACCTGAGTTATAGTCTCCAACTCTGAAAAACTTATCAGCTAAAAGACCTCGGGCAAGTCACCTCCCTTCCTCTGGTTCTCAATTTCCTTACCTATAAAAAGAAGTATTTGGAATTGATAATCTCTAATGTGTTTTCTGATTCTAACATTTATGAATCTATTATAAAACCAGAGAATTCAGGCATATCTTAGGCAATCTCCACTGAGAAATGTCTGAACAGGGTATCTTTTTCATTCAGCACATTTTAATACATCCCAATAGTGTACCCTATGGGTAGTGGAGAATTAAGATCAACCCAATACTGGATAATTATAGTATTTCTGCCTCTGATGTCTCATTGTGGTACGAAGAAGATCCTGGGTTCTGAAGGTAATGCCAATGGAACACAACTTTTGGCAAGTCCTACTGAAGTAAGAAGGTTTTGCGTATAGGCCTCAAAATGGCTGCATGTTTGTTATCCAGCTAAATTCACAGAGGCTTGTGACCAAGTTGTCTGTAGGGTGAAGAATTTGTTAGCAACTCTTGAAAAGCATTTACTGAATTTTAGTGGGGTTGAGATCTGTGTTGGTAGAGGGTGCACCAACTCTGAATGACTCTTCAGAACTCTGAAGTATGAAGAAATTTTTGCTAAATGATCAAACTTTTTCAGAACACTACAAAGGCTCATTACAATCCAAAACAATGAGAAACATTTGTCTAAACATTCACATAGAAAAAACAAAGTGGATGAAAAAGCTATTATTCTTCTAGATCATGACATGCATATAGCAGGGAAGTCCATCAAGTAAGCCCATCAATATGTCTATCTTGTACAAGAATTACAGATGCATTCTACCCATTTTCCTTTTTCCAAAAGAAAAAAAAAAGATTTTTTTATGTACCATTTATCTCTTATCTAATGTCAAAACAATTTGACATTATTTGACATCATGACAATATTTGACAAAAATTGACATTAGATTGTCAAATCCAATGGTCTCTTCTCACTCCTCATGCTTCTTGGCCTCTCTGCAGCATTGAATACCTCCTTCTCTCCCCCCTTGGGTTGTCATGACACCGTTTTCTCCTGGTTCTCACTCTGACTTCTCCATTTTAGTCTCCTTTGCTGGATCATCATTTACCTCAAGGCTTTGTCGTGGGTCCTCTTTTTCCCTGCAAATTCCTTTGCTAGCCATTATTATCACCATCGTTATTATTAACGACAATGATAATCATAATCATAATAAACCATACTGACTCTGACATGGTTTCTAAATTGTAAAACAGAAATGTGTTATTACTGGTGGACTTTGAAAACTTGCAGGCTTGTATGAGTATCCTACAGTTTGGGATCTAAATCATAGGCTCATTCTAGTTGTACTCATAAGTACAAGTACCCACCTCACAGGCACTTCACAGGACTTCTGTGAAGAACATTTTTTGGAAGTCCTAAAACTGTAGAAAAGTGCCAGTTCTTCGACTTTGAAAGCCTTAATAACTCTGATAAATGCAATGCCCAAACATTTTTCCAAAGGCCTGATGATGAAGCATGGTACCAGTGTGCTGACAGAGGTAATGGGCTCAAGGTAAGCATGGGAGATAAATTTGGACATGATCAGTTTGGGAATTTGTTTTGCTTGACTATGAACATTTGTTACAAAGATTTCATTTTTGTTTTCTCCAATGTGAAGGGAGTGGGTAGAAAAAAAAATACTTGCTAATTTTAAAAAAAGCCAGTTCTTGATGATAACCTCTGTGAGCTTAAATTTTCTCATGGTTAAAGACAAGGATAAAAATATTTGGCCGACCTAGCTCACAGGGTTGTTGTGAGGAAGGTGTTCTGTAAATCTTAAGGAGTACTATAGGAACAGAAACAATTTTCTTTCATTTATAAAGGCAGGACCTCCTGGGATAGTTTGAGTCTGCAGTCTGGAGCAGAAGTCTCCCCTGTACCATTCAAATCTGTGTTAAACATCCTTCGGAGGGGCCCTATCCAGAATTCCATGCTTTTACACCAAGGGAATACCATTCATCTGAGACTTGCCCAGTGCTGAGAGCTTAGCTGTTCATTTTATAATCCACTCATCCTTGCTGGAAACTAAATCACTGCCCTGAATGCACAGATCAATTTGCCTTAAAAATTCATTTGTCAGGTTCTCTTCTTAGCCAGAATGTTAAGAAGCCAGGGCCGTGCAATCTCCTTTACCCCCCAAACAACATGTGTTTACAGAGAGGAAGGTACCAGATTAGTTAGAGTGCAAAGCAAGGTGCACAACCGCTGGAAAATAATAAGTTGAGTGGATTTTCTTCTACCTTGGGAGATTAATGTTTTGCATCTATTTCCCATTAGCGTCCCAGATTATAGATATAAGATTATAGAAACAGACTGTTCATA